TTTTTATTTTAATAAAGAATGACAAAAAAATTATTTTTATTTTGAGACATTTTTTATTCGCTCAAAAGATCAACAATTTTTCAAAATATTTATCGCTTAAGATCGCGGCCACACTTCATAGGGTAGACAAAATATTTATCGCTCAAGATCGCGGCCACACTTCATAGGGTAGTCAAAATATTTATCGCTCAAGATCGCGGCCACACTTTATAGGGTAGCCAAAATATTTATCGCTCAAGATCGCGGCCACACTTCATAGGGTAGTTAGTAAATACTATAGACTAAAAAATATCAAAATATAGAACAGATACAAATTGAAGTAATTTTTAAATTCACCATTAAATTTGAAGTTTAGTACTTTTGTAATGAAACTTTTACTTTCAATGCATAAAAATTGTAAAACCACCTTTTTCAGAAAAGTTTTCTATTTCTAGCAGCTTATAGTATAACTTTTCTAATGATGTATAAATATTTTATATTTCTTATTGATCTATATATTATAAAAATAATAAGTGCTAAATTTTTAAAAATACTAAAAAACATCTTAATAATATTTATTATTATTTTCTTAATCACTGTGGATATTTTTACAGGTAAACATACACAAGCAAAAAAAAAAATAAAAAAAATTAGGGATTGCAATTTCAGAGTTTTTTTGATCCCGGGATTGAAAAACAGAAATAACAACTGCATAGTATTAAATAGAATAAAATAACATGTTTATTAATTTTATTAGTTTAACATGTTAATAATTTACGAAATTATGTCAGAAAAGAGATAAGGAAATATATTATGTTTTATGTGCTTTGAAATGCGACTTAAAGAAGCACAACGCGTTTAAAGTTTTACAATCCAAACTTACTTATAGAATATTATTTATAAATAAACTTGGTTATGAATCTTGGTATTGTCCAGCGCAAGAAAATACCCGTTCAGTCTCAACACTTTTTAGTTTTACATTCATTAGAAATGAATAAGCTCTTTCTGAATAATTGCCACGTGTACTATCATTTTCAATTAGTGTTATTTCTTTTTGAATTTTTGATAACAATTTATCATATCTAACTGGTTACATCGGTAATTGCCCTTCTTTAAGGACAATTACCAAACACGATCAAGTTCCTCTTCTTCCAGGTACCATTTCAGGTTTCTTGATCAAATACAGCATATCAGAGTCAACTGAAGCAGAGTTAGAAGCGTTTGATCTTTCCAGCAATTCTGCCAAAAGTTGCATTAATTATTTTTTCATCGGCTTTGACCTTTACGCAGGTATTGCAGAGGTCCACTTATATCAATTCTGCGTTCATGCGTACGAACTATTAAAGCTATATGAATTTAATTGCTTGTGTTATTTTTAGCATCTTTCTATTTTTTAAGCAAAAAATTAATAGCAATGTTGGCTGTAAATCGATTAGAACCTCGACGACAAAGTGCTTCAACCGTTGCTTTAATGGAAACTTAAGTTATAATAATCTTTAATAATATTGTCACTTCATTATGTGTCACTTCATCATGGGAATTATTTTGGAATAAATAAATATCAGTTAATGATTTTTATATACAGTTTTTTACTTTGTAAAATCGTTAAAGCTTTAACAGAAGTGTCTTGCAGTACATTATTAAAGACAGCAGTTTTCCAAATTCAACCTTGATATATTTTTGTAAGATGTCGTTCTTGGTAGGTGACCGTCTAAATATTAGTTTGAAATTACGTACTTTTTTTTATGACTAGCCCGTAATGAAACTCATTTAGTTTAATTTTATGTCTTACATTTTCATGATTGTAACCCAGTAAATCTTCCTTATTCTCGGATAAAACACTGTCAGAAAATTAATTCAATTCAAAAAATTCAATTCTGGCTGGCTTGCATTGAATTCTCTTTTTTTTTTATAGAGGATATCAATTACAGGAAGTTGTATGCCGTAGGGAAAACATAATTGTTGATTAGCAGCCACCAACCTTTTAACTTTTATAACACTAGCTTTGTCGGTCATTATAATGTAGATCAAGACTATGGTCTTTAAGTTTTTTTAATAATAATTTAATTCACTTTTCTGCTGAGATTGAACCTGTTATTTGCACTAAATTTAAACTCCAGAAGTGAAAACTTTGTCCATGAACGTTAATATTCATATTGCGACAATTTCGAATGACGTCCATTCAAAAAAGACAAAGAAAACCTCTCGGCTACCCCGAATTCCATTTTCTTACGCTCTTCAATCTGATTAACTAAACCTAATCTTATTTTTTTGTTGTACTCTACTACATGATTACGAATTGTGTTTACTGACGTTGGTAGATTTTTGAATCCCATAGCAATTAGAGCGGCACGTAAATCTTTTGAAGAACAATCATATAAAATGAAAACCCGTCAGATACTGTTATAAATTAAAAAGTATTCTGTTAGTGGTTTAGATTTCTTTTCGGTGGTTTATCTGATGTGCTTTTTTCGGTAATGTTAGGTTGGGTTGGACTTACGATCTTCACATTATTCATCGATAACATGTGTATATGAAGTCTATTTTTTGAATCACCTCCGATTTTTAAAATCTTCTTGCAGTTTGCAATTTATACATTGCAGTCTGGCTTTTCTTATTCCATAGAAAAGATTTCCAAACAGCTGAGTTACTTTTAATTATAAAATTCACATACGTCATACTTATTTAGTTTTTAATTTTAGAAGTCTACCTTATAAAAAACGCGCTTTTATTTCAGTTTGAAAATAGTTTGTTTTTCAGAATTACAGAACAAAACAGAATAACTAACAATAGTAACTTTATATATTAAAAAATTAAACTACCGCGAATATTTAAAAAGTGTTTATATAAATAACTTTTTACAAACAGTATAAATTCGTATTATATAACGAATTATTATAATATAAATATAAACAGTATTATATAATGGAGCAAAGTGTGGGTATTGCAAGTATTACTTGTTATAACAATATTTTTCATTGTTAAATTTTTAAATTTTGTATATGCTAATCCACGTAACATATTTCGAAGATTTTCATTTTTACGAAGATTTTCATGATATATTGCGAAGATTTTCACAACTGAAAATACAATTTTTTTCTACAATTTTATACCAAGTAAAAATTGTTTTATCGATGCGCATAAATTGCTTTATTTTGTTTAATTTTAAAGGAACAATATTAGACAATTCCGCGTTTTCGGGATTTGTTCAAGATTTAAAAGGCCGAGATCCCGGAATTGCAATCACTAATAAATAGTAAAAACTTAAAAAGAAGAAAGAGGTCATTTAGAATGTTTTCTTTAAGAGTTTGCTTCAAAATGTTTCCCTGCTCTTTTATATTCCACCATTCTATTGAGGATTTCAAAGTTCTCCTAATATCATTGAAAAATGCAAGGCGAATACTCTTTTTTTTGCTTTTAAAGATATCAAACAAATTACTATGGCACATTTGCCATATTAATTATTATGGCACACCTACAAAAGAGTGTTTTAGTGTGGGATTGTTTAGTTAAGATCCAATAACGTCTTTTGAACTTCGTTGATTTATTGTCTAAAAAACGAATAAATAAGTTTAATTTATTTTGGATGGCAAAACTAATTTAAATTTCTTCAATCAGAGTTGAACTGTTAGAATTAAATTGAAGAGAATGAGGGTTCTTTATCTATATTATTAAAATCAAATATTTATTTTTTTGTGTGTGGTTATTATTGTGCTCCCAGACGTCGAGATCATAGAAATGCTCGGTGTGGAATAGACTTACCAAGGCCCATATTTTACGATTTCGGACACTAGTTTTGTTTTTGTGTATTGATAAATCTTGGATTGAGTTTGCAACTAAATAATATCAAATCTGATTTTTGTGCTTGTTGAATTAATCCATATGTTAAATATAGTTCCAAACAAAGCTTACATGCTCAATTTTTTATTCGTAAAAGACGTTATCAAAGCTATTGAAAACCTGTTGAATAATTCAAGCGAGCATTGTTTACCAAAAGTATAAAAATTAATAACATTTAATCTAGGGTAAGTTGACGAATTTCGGGCGGCATCGAATTTCGTGCAAACAGCCTTTCGCATCAAAAAAATCACACTGACGTTAATTTAATCAAGTGCTGTTTCACATTTCAGTTAGTACAACCTTACCGCATCAAGTTACTGCTAACCCCATGTCGATAGTCCAAATATTTATATTAAAAAAGCTATTATAAGTTACGATACATCGGTTTTTCACGTAAAGTGAAAAAACTTTTTACACTTAACTTTTACACTTTACTGTACAAAAATGAAGTACGACATTTCTTTGAAAGAAGTGCTAATCTTTCACCCAAGTTTAACGAATGTGTTTGGAAAGGTAAAAACTAACAATAATAATAATAATAAACAAATACTTTTTTGATGTAAAAAATTTCTGCACGAATTATCGAAAGCATCATATTTCGTGCATTATACCCGAAATTTAATTTACACAGTATTAAATTTCGTGCATTGTTTTATTTTTACCTAACAATGATTTTTAATGCTTTTATGGTTTTAACTATCATTAAATTTAATGATTTTTACGACTTTAATGATTTATATAATGACTTAAATGATTTTTTGATAAATTTAATGATAAATTTTAACGATAAACTTTAATGATAAATTTAATGACTTTAATGATTTATATAATGATTAAATTTAATGATTTAAAGAACACTATTTTGGAGTCTTTAGATCAATTTCGCTCATATGTACGAAATTGATCTAAAGACTCCAAAATAGTGTTCTTTAGATACATTATTACGGGTTGTAAAAAGATTTTAAAAATTATATATAAAAAAGAAAAGTTTCTTCAAATATTATAAAAACCTTAAGCAAAAACAAATTATAACATTTAAAGATCTTATTTGGGCATAATATGCTGACAAAACTATGCTAATTCCAAATAAAAGTATTCAAATATTTTGTAAATCGCCTTAACTACACCGAGTAGTAGAATATACAAGTTACAATTTTTTAATCAAGTTTATTATTGGGGCTATGGACTCTAAGAAAAGGCAGAAGTACCAAAAATATAACAAGGAAGCTGTTGTGGCCGCTGTTGCTGATGTTCGAGACAATCATTTTTCATGGAGAAAGGCAAGTTTAAATTATAATGTACCTTCTCAGACAATTGGTGATAGAATAAATGGAAGATACGGTGCCGCCAAGCAAAAGATAGGTTAGTGTTGTTTAAAATATTTATTTACTTACTATGCTAGATATAATTCTCCATAAGCAATAAAATTGCATAAGATTTTTTCAGAAGTTAACTAATTTTTTTTACTTAAAGGTCGCAAATCTGCTTTAAAAAAAGGAGGAAGAAGAAAGAATAAAAGACTTTTTGATTAAGGCAGTAAAATAGGATATAGTTTTTGCCAAAATGATGCACCAAGCATAGTTAAAAATCTTTTAGACGTTAAAGAAAAGCAACATATAACAGAGCATTGACTTAATATAAAGAAAAAAACGATATGATAGCTCAAAGAAAGTTTGTGAATAATCTGCTAAGCAAGTTTTGGATCTACAGATAAATAATTGCTACTCTATTAAGTGTTTTGAATATATAATAAAGAAATGACACAAAATTGTAGATTTTGATTGAACTATGATTGTTTTGATCTGCTTAATCTGTGTTTAATTTGATAAACCTGGTTTTTTTTACTTTATATTCGGAAGGTTTTTCAAAAAGCATTCTGATCTTGCAAGAAGAATGCCTGAATATTTGGGCCACCAGCGGCGAAACGTTTCTCATGCTCAAATCAGGCAATGGTTTACTGACCTGGAGAATGGTTTGTTTGAAGAACACCAAATAAACGCTTCAGAGTTCCTATTACCAGAAAACTTTAGTAGAGTGTTTAATTTGGACGAAACAGGGTTTCCATTAGCAGGGACATTAAGAACTCAACGCCGTTAATGCATGTTCTTGAAAATACGCGAATTTTGCGTTTTTATAAAAACGCAATGTTTTACTGCATTTTTTTAGCACAAAAAAATTTTTTTTTTAATTTTTTTTTTCCCACTAGCGCTTAAGTATGTCTGTAATCAAATAAAGTTAATTTTTTTTTAAATTACACAAGTTTAGATATAAAATTTTGCTTAATGGTTGATGTACCATATTTTGGTATAAAATGGCGCTGCTCTCAACGAAGATAAAACATTAACTTGAAAAAACAAGTTTTTCAAAAAAGTTACAAGTTATATGTTTAATTTCTAACCAGTCATATGTCTGCAAACATATTAAAGGTCGAAAAAAATTACCGTAGATGGGGGTAACTAAAGCCTACGGGGAAACTAAAGCCATTATAGCAGGTAATTTTTGGATGGTGATAGTGGCAGCACTGTTTGGATTCAACAGCTGATGTTGTGTTCTTCTAATAGGAACTTGGACTGCTTTCCAAATACTTGCTTGGATTATTAAAACAATATCACGGTAAGTGTCCAGTAAAACTATATATTTAACCTAAAAAATCGATAAAAAAGTTACCTTGCATAACTTCTGCTCTGAACAAATCATTTTTAATCATAAATTCTCATAACTCTCAACAAACATAACCTTAATTTATGTTTCATCACACCTTTAAAGGTTATAACCTATAACTTGATTCTTTCTTTTGTTGTGATGTTTTTTTTTTCAGTGATACACAACATGGGGTAACTAAAGCCACATCATAAAGGTGGCTTTTGTTACCCCATACTTTATAATAAGTCAAAATTCCTTAAGTAATAAATTTTTTCTCTTTTTTAGGACTAAAAATGCCTCGAAACCCAAAGAAGAAGCTTGGTAGCCGGAAGTATAAGGATTATACAGATGAAACGCTGAAAATAGCTGTAGAAGAAGTGAAGAAAGGGTCATCTTTAAGAAAGATTGCTGAAAAATTTGCTATATCAAGATTTGCTCTCACTGCTGCCCAGAAAGGTAAGGTTAACAAATGTGGTAGGCCTCCAGTTCTTAATTCTGAAGAAGAAAGAAGATTACTTGAATCTATAAGCATGGCCGGAGAGTGGGGATTCCCTCTTACAGCACTAGACATAAGACTAATAGTGAAAGGTTACCTGGATCGGTGTGGCCGAAATGAAGTAAGGTTCAAAAACAATATGCCTGGAGTTGATTTTATTGACAGTTTTCTCAAAAGAAACAGTAAAGATCTTTCCAAACGGTTGGGTCAAAACATTAAAAGAAGTCGAGCGGCTATCAGTAGGGACATCGTGAATAACTACTTTAATGAACTAGAAAAGACATTAAAGGATGTTGATCCATCAATGATAGTAAACTACGATGAAACCAACATGACTGACGACCCAGGGAGAAAACAAGTGATCGCGAGAAGGGGATCAAGGCATCCAGAGCGTATAGTAGATTCTTCTAACTCTAGCACATCATTAATGTTTTCTGGAAGTGCAAGTGGAATGCTACTGCCTCCTTATATAACTTATAAGGCAGCCCATCTGTATGACTCTTGGACAGAGAATGGTCCAGCAGGCAGTGTATAATAGATTGAAGAGCGGGTGGTTCACTCTGGAAATTTTTGAAAACTGGTTTCAGAGATTAGCTTTGCCCTACTTTAAAAAATTTGACAGTGATGCTAAGAAGGTTTTGATAGGAGACAATTTGTCGAGTCACATCTCTGCCCATATTATTGAAGAATGCAACAAAAATAACATCAAGTTTGTACTGCTACCTTCTAACAGTAAACACTTCACGCAGCCTTTAGATGTGGCATTCTTTAGGCCATTAAAAATAAAATGGCGCCAGACTTTGACAGAGTGGAAAGAGGCTAATCGTGGCTCTATTCCAAAAGACAGGTTTCAAAGACTTCTGAAAAAGTGCCTTGATGCTTTGGGAGAGGAAAACATAAGCAAAAACTTAAAAAGTGGATTTAAGGCAGCTGGTATTGTACCTTTAGACCAAAATGAAATTCTGAAAAGGCTTCCTGATGGTGATGCCACTGCAGTATCTGAAGAGCTTAATTCAAGCAACAACTGGACTGATTCTATCAAAGCCTTTTTTGAAGAAAGTAGGAAGAGAGAGACCGAACCTCTTAAACAGCGGAAGAAAAGGAAACTTAATGTCCCAGCAGGAAAGGGGATTGAAGGGATTGAAGACACAATTCTGATCAATGATGATGATGCTCAACCAAATAGGTCCAATACACCCAATACCAAAACAAAGGAAAACCACAGCAAACTAAAGACTTTGAAACATAATAGGAAACTTGCAAATTCCAACTCATTTGATGATAGTGATGACCATTATTCTTTGAGAGACTCTAATTCAGATATGGATCCAGAAACATTTAGTGACCTGGAATCGGAGATACCAGTAGATCTACAACTAGAAGAAACAACTTATGACGAACCCCCAAAATAGGAGTCTCTAAAGGAGAACTTAAACCTGATATTTACGTCATTGTTGAGCTCATCTTTGATAAGAACACAAAAAAAGAAACCACCAAACAGTTCTATGGAGTCATTCTTAGAACTTGTTTTGAGAAGAACGAAGTTACAGTAACATTTTTCAGAAGAAGCTCCAAATCAAAAGGAATAACTATATATTTCCGAATGTTGATGACGAAATGGACATTCAGTTAACAGACGTCATTTCAATTGTGAAACCATCCAAAGTAAACAGAGGACGTTATACTTTTCCTTATGAACTACCGGTAAAGCACTGATTTCAACAAGACCTATTTTAAATAATATTTTTGTCTCTTTTTAATGTTTTTCTTAAATAATAAAGCTTTTTTCTTGTCAATAGTGGTTCTTTATTGTTACAGATGCATGATTTATGGATTTAGTTACCCTAGCACTCTCTAACTAAAGCCAAACATTGCTTTTTAATGGATGGCTTTTGTTACCCCTTTTCCAGGGGTAACTAAAGCCACCATGTTTTCATTTTTTTTATTAAAAAAATGTATATTTCTGCAATTTATGAATATATTTCTTTAATATATGACCACAGACCCAAGTTTTGCAATATTTATTTAACCTATAAATTAAAGGGTCTGACTTGGGCAGAAGTTTGAACTTCGAAAGTGGCTTTAGTTACCCCCATCTACGGTAGTTATTTCAAGTTTAAAATCTGTTTTTTCCATTTTATATGAAAGTTTTTATTAATTTGAGTGTGAAGAACACACAAATTGACATACGACCAGTTAGTAGTAGTCAGTAGTATAGACCAGTAGAATATTGAAAAAAAGAATAAACTAATAATAAATGTATTATACCATGGCCTACTTAAATTACACGGCCTGATTTGTTGCATTTTCCGTAAAAAATTAAGAGGCCAGTTTTTTTACGGCTCAAGTATAAAAACTTAATTTTTGTTATGGTTAAGAGTCTTGTTTGCACCATAATTGTTTTATTTTTATTTTATTAAAATGGTTTAATAATAGTAAGATTTTCTTTGAGTACTTACATTAATTTGTTGCTAGATTTGCTGTTAACTGATTGCCTGCTTCAGTTTATTCCAACAACACAGAATACTGAAATAGGCTTCCAGATAACTATATCAACCAATACCAACATGCTACTTAAGATAATCTCTCATGTTGCTTAGATTGTCTAAAACTCTCAATTGAGCAAAAAAAAGGTTTGTAGTTTTGTATTTTTTATAATTGAAATAAAAAGAAGAAATACATTTTTGCTAGAAATGTTTATTTTGTCTTTTTTGGAATTCTTTTACTTAATTTTTTTTAAATGAATATGTAATTTTTTTTTTTGCAAATTACTATAAAAAATGTAATAATATTTTTTATATTAATTTGCAATACAATACGAGATCTATATTTGATTCCCATTTTTGGTGGTTTTTATTTGTAAAATTGAAACAGCTAGATCAAATCTTTAAAATTTGTTTCGCAAAATTTTAATTAAAAAAGAATGACTGCAATGTTTTATTAGAATAAGAGAAATAACATAAAATACTAAAAAGATGATAAAAAATTAGACAGAGGTTGAATTGAATATATAGGTTCTTCTCTTAATAAAGTAATGTTTATTGATCATAAGTTTAACATCAAAATCTTTTTGTTAATTTTTACCATTATTACTTGCTTTAGTATATATATTTGTGCTATCTTCAGAAAGCTGACAGTAGTATTTATGTAGACAACTAAGCAATATCTTGCATAATATTTTTTAAGGATTATCAAAATTCTGGTAAATATTTTCTGGGAAAATCTGCCAAAATCTTTTTACTTATGCACATTTCTAAAAGGCTCACAAAAAGTCTACTATTGGGCATTTAACTATACTTAATAAAACCTAGCTCCAAAGAATCTTTTTGTAAATTAACTATAAACAAATGTAAAGCCTTTTTCAAGGAAATCATGCATAAGAAATACAAATGCGTGTAGTGTTGTAATTAGAGCACAAGAAGTTTGTTTGGTTAATTTCAGGTATTTATCAAATTTTATTTTGATCAAATTTCAGTACAATTTGCAATTTCTCTATAAAGTGTGGGTTTGTTATCACTTTTAAAAGCAGCATTGGTGAGTTTGATTAGATGAATTAAGTTTCTGCTTTGAATTAAGTATGATAAATAACTTATAAAACAATGATAATTGTGCTGCATTATTTCTTTCAGAAAAATAACTCTAAATTAGCAGTTGTAGCTGCAGTTGTTTTGTCAAATATTGTCGATGTTGACAACTTGTTTGTTGTTACCAAAATATGTGATTTGATAATTAATTTTTCTTGCTTTTTCTTGCTTGTTTAATAAGTGATCTTTTAATAAACTTTAAGAAATATATTCCCTACAATGTAATCAGCAGTAACTTCAACAAGAAGAAAAAAACAAAAACCGAGTTTATCAAATAACAAGTATATTTTAAACACACCCTTTCTAAACTAAATGAAAAATTAATAATTTTCCATCTCCAGTATATGCTTTATGAAACTATAAAAATGCATTAACATTTGTAAAATGGTTATCGGTAACAATAGTTCTTATCTTAAATTCAGATTGGTGCATTGAGGTAATACACTCATCAATTTCTTTTTTCAAACATAAACCTGTTATGTAAACTTTAGGTTATGATTTCAAAACATAAGAATAAATTTTTGAAGCCCTACAATCATAAAAACAAAAAAAAATTCTTTATAAAGATTGTTTTCTCAATCTTCATCAAAATTTTTACCGCTTTGGGCTGCTTTTTGGAAGTACACCTTACCCACAAGAAGCAAATAATCTCTTAATACCAAATTTTTGTCAATGATTTTTCTAATATATTATAGTTTTTCAAATTGTATTTTTTACCACTGCGAAACCATTTAAATAAAGAAGAATGATAACTATTTATTTGGCAATGAAAAAAATTAGAATTTTATTAACAGCTATTGACTCCAAAACAGTTGGTATGTCTGATATTTCTTGCCTACTGTAAATAAATAGCCTGATTTGTTACATTTTAATTGTTGTATGTTTGAGACATGCAGCATAATAATTGCAAAACCTTGTTTTGCAGTGTAAATAAATTAAAGAAAAGTTTATGTTTTCTACTTAATAATTGCAATTATAATAAATACAAAATTACAAACCTTTAAAATTATTTCCAATGGAGAGTTGTGGGTAGTCTTAGCAATATGTAAGATTATTTTTAGTAGCATGTTATTATGTGTTGATATAGCTATCTGAAAGCCTATTTCAGTATTCTTTTTTATTGGAATAAACTGAAGCAGACAAACAGTTAACAGAAAATCTAGCACAAAATAATTTAAGTAATCAAAGAAAATCTAACTAATATTAAACCATTTTAATAAAATAAAAATAAAACAATTATAGTGCAAACAAGACTCTTAACCATAACAAAATTTATGTTTTTATACTTAAGCCATAAAAAAAACTGGCCTCTTAATTTTTTACGGAAAATGCAACAAATCAGGCCGTGTAATTTAAGTAGGCCATGATTATACTAATAAATTAGTTTTACCATTTTAATAGTATTAAGTACCAATAAAAAAACAAGAATTTTAAACAAAATAATGTTTAGGTATTACACCCGCAAACGGAGGCCAAGTACTGAAAAAACTTTTACAATCTATGAACTGTGATCTAAAAAGACTAAATCTAAAAAGAAAAATGTCAGATAATACATACCTTGATGGCACAAATATAAATAATATACAATATAGAAGAAAAAAACGGAGGTATTTATTACCTTTCTTTCACTTATCATTAATTAAACTCTTTATTAATTAAGGTTAAACTCTTCATATTTTATTAATCATTTATGGTTTAACTTATTTATAGGTTGAACCTGCCATACATCAGATATATATCTTTGCCATGCGAGCCAACTAATAAAGAAATAAAGCAGCAACTCAAAAAAAAAATAGATGATGGAACATATAATTCAGGGGAAAAGATTGTACCCCAAAAATATGAAAAAGTATTTATATCATCTGAAAATCAAAAAATTACAAAAAAAGAGGTTCTTATTGAAGGCAGAAAAATTTCCTTGAAAGATATAAGACTAAATATGTTCAAAGACCATGAGATTTTCATGAAAGTTCGAAACGATAATGAACAAGAAGCACTCTCTCGACAGCAAATTATTGATGCTCTTGATAATATTCAGGAATATAAAGATGACTTTGACACTCTAACTAAAAATGAGCTGATAAATATACTTAAAACTTATGAAAGAACAAGGAATTTAATGTTTTGGCATGATTGCTCCAGTATATCTAATCACACTCACTTTCTTGTTACTGTTAGTGTAATGTACGATACAGCGATATTTTTAAGTATCTTTGAATATAAACAAAAGTATGGAGAGGAAATAAATGTTCAAGCAGAGGTCGAAAAGCCTTATTTATACATACTTGGTAGATGTCCTTCCAATGACCAGCAACTCTTGTATAGCGATGACAGGATTAACAACATTTTGCAATTGAGCAATCCCTTAGAATTCAAGGGAACATCTGTTTTAGATGTTGCAAGAATATTTAAAGGTGACAATCCAGCAGCACAACTGGAAGCTGGTCATCAGAAGGGTGGTAATTATTTTTGTTGGGCATGCAACATGTATGCAGATCTTTCTAATAATATATCAATATTATTAAGCTTCCCATACAATACCCTACAAAGTCGTATAGACCATATAAATGCAAGTAACACCTCACAGCTGGCAGTAAACCAAGGAAAAACCAAATTATATTCATGTTTAAAAAAAGATTAGATTGAACAAGAGCTTTATAAAAGAAATATTCAATATCCATTCAACGCATCTGTCAAAAAATTAAAGGAGCTATTGGCAAATGAAATGCATGGAGTGCAAGGTATGCCTGCTCTTCTTTTAAAAAAACCAGGTTTTTTTTTAACACAACTAAATCTTTTACACTATGAAATTTTAAATAATGAACCAATGCATGATATTTCAAACCATATAAAAAAAATATATTCAATGAATTGCCATATTTAGTAGAAAAAAAAATATAAAAAAGTTGAAGAAAATATAATTAAAACCTCTTTTAATGGCATTGAAGCAAAAAATGCTGCCAACTATCGAAAAAATTTATTAATAGTTACTAACTGCTTTCTAGAACATTACCAGGTTGGTCACTTTGTTTTTAAACTTTTACTAACTCTGTGCGAAATACAAAACATCCTTTATATGCCAGAAGAATCTAGATCAACACACAGTATTTTTCGTTTAATAAATACCACATTTGTACATGCAATAATTATAAAAGAACATTTAGAAGCAAATTTAAAAAATAACAAGCAAAAATTCTTTGGTGCATACTATCACTCAATTACATCACATGCTCCACTACAGTATAGATTGTTTGCAGGTCGTACGTCTAATGTGGAAAAAGAAGAAGCAATTTTTCAAAATTTGAAACTTTTGTATATACACACACACACATACATATATATATATATATATATATATATATATATATATATATATATATATATATATATATATATATATATATATATATATATATATATATATATATATATATATATATATATATATATATATAATATATATAAAATATATATATATATATATATAAAATATATATATATATAAAATATATATATATATAATATATATATATATATATATATATATATATATATATATATATATATATATATATATATATATATATATATATATATATATATATATATGTATATATGTAGTTAGAATTATACATGCACTTAATCGACTAACATAATAATAATCTTAATATAATATAAGATTAATAATGTTATTAAATAATACTACATATGTGACATATGTTGTATTATTTAATAACATTAATAATGTTAATAATGTCATTATTAATATTATATTATATTAAGATATTATTGTTATCAAAAATGAATTTTTATTCACAATATAAAAAAAAGTATTACTTTTAATTATTTAGTAAAGTTTAACCAAAATATATATATATATATATATATATATATATATATATATATATATATATATATATATATATATATATATATATATATATATATATATATATATATATATATATATATATATATATATATATATATATATATATATATATATATATTCAACAAAATACTGTGTTTCTTTACTACATATTTTCTTGCTCCATCGCGAAAGATATGTTATGTTTTAAACCATAGTTATAAGAATGACTTTTTATGACTAAAATTAATTATGACTTATGACAAAATCTTAACAAATGTTGCAGACCGGAAAAAAAGTATGTTTGTTATCACCGAGAACAAGCAAAACAAAAAAGTATGAAAACTTGCATTAATGCCGTTGAGAAGGCTGAAAATAATTGCCTCAAAGGGTATAAAAAATGTTTATCGCATTTATCACAATTAGAAGAAGGTTATGACGTTGAGAGTGATGTGACTACTTCTGGTCGGGAGTGGAATATGTATAAGTGGTTGCACATTAATTCAAATAAAAAAATCTCTACCCCTAAAAAATTCCCCGTAACACCATGCGAAGCTGCAACACAAACTTCAACTGTTACAAAAGTACAAACCTGTAATAACTATATTTCCGGCACGTATAATAATACTCAAACAAACATAGCGTGTGTCAAACCTATGCAGTCCACGAATATTATTATCCCAACAACTACAGAATCCAATAACCTTATCTGTAGAGAATTAAATTTTTCTGGGTATTTTTTACCACCATATCATAACTAGTTTTAATAACATATTCCTTTAACCTGATTCAACTCTAAGTCAGACATTTAATCACTTGAGAAATATTTGCAAAAAACTATATATGAATTAAGTATTGTATCTTGAATAAATCTGCTAAATTTAACTTATAAAAAAAAGTGCACGAAATTAAATTTTACTTCGTCAACTTGCACGAAATTGTGCAAATCATCAAAAAAAATATTCAAAACGGAAACAAAAAAATAAATAAAAAATAATATTTGATAATTTTGTAGATAAAACAGCTGGCTGCCTAAATTGAGCTCATTATATTTTTGGTGGCCGTTTGGTTATATTCTATAACTTTTACGGCAAATTTTCAACAAACTGCCCGAAATTCGCCAACTTACCCTTGAGGTGTACGGATATTTTTTGCCGGATATTGAACTTTTCTAAAGTTCTATAAGTGTTTATGAAGAAAAAGTCTTGCCAGTCTACAATAAATAGCATTCAAGATCTTACTTTAAAAAACCAAGAGAAAAACTGAATGACACTGAATGACATGGTATATGTGCTGACGAAGTATAGAAAATAATAATTTAAAAAAACAAATATTTGGCTGTAAAAACAATTTTTCCTTAAACATTATTAACGCATAAAGCTGTGTTATACCAATTTTTTTTTTGATTTTATTTTTTTAAATCTTGAACACTATTTAATGCAGAATAACATTGGCAAGACTTTTTCTTCATAAACACTTATAGAACTTTATAAAGGTTCAATATCCGCCATATCCGGTACACCTCTAATTTAATCATAACATTTAATAACATTTAATAACTTATTTTGTTTAAATAAATTCTAAATTAATTCAAATATAAAACTTTAATCCAACTAGTTAAAACCAAATATATTAATTTGAATTTAGCCAATTTTTTTCCATTTATCTATTCATCTAACTAGTTCTAAAATATTAAACTTTATAAATCTGATTTTTCATTTGTAAATAACTACTTTTATACTAAAAAAACGCGTTTAATAAAAAATATGTTTAATAAAAAACATGTTTAATAAAAATTTTTCATTTGTGAATAATAACTATTATACTAAGTAAAAAAACATGTTTAATAAAAGCAATAAAAAATCATAATACAACACGTTTTTAGTTGTTGCATAATATTGTTGGAGAATTTAACGGGGCACCCGTCGAACGGATGCAGCTTCCACTGTGAAGACTAGTAAGGTCAGACCAATGGAATTGATACCCAGATTCATGCGAGTAACACAAAAACTTCTTAGAAGCTGACGGAAGGCGAATACACTTTTTCAACGGGTGTTTATCTAATATAAAAAAAAAATTAATAAATTACTTATAACAACTATTAATGAATATTTATTAAATTATCAATTATAAAATTTATATTTATGTTGTTTCCATATATTATCTTGTTGTATGTGTTGTTATTAAGCTATTGCTGTTTGTAAAATCAAAGTCTTTAAATAAATTATAAAGACATTTTGTAATTTTTTGACATCTTTTATGTAATATTTTTTCAGGTACAAATCTGTATTTTATGCCTAATTATTATATATATAAAAGATGACAAAAAAATTTACCGTCAGATACAAGAAAACCAGGATTTTTAAAACTTCGCTTATGACAAAGATAATTGTCTTGAGATCTTCCTTTAAACTTTTGTGGGTTCAGCAACGTACAATAACATTTGCAGTTTTGAGGAAAGTTTAAGCCCAAGCAGCATGGTCGAGGAACTTGATGTAATATTGAAAAATCGTAGGGCCAGCAAGGATAATCTATGCAGAAAAAAAAAAAGAAGAAAATAACGTCTAAATGAAAAAAAAACAAAAAAAAAACTCCAGTATACCAAAAGTTTTAAAAAATAAAAAACTTACAAATTTGTTTACAAGGTTTATGCGTCACTATCTTAACTTTTGTAGGTGTTACTGAATGGTGAATAGAAATAGCGGATGTAGGTTTTATAGCAGAAGTTAATTTCGTAGTTGTCGATGGTGTTGTTGTTGCTGTTGTTGGTGCTGTTGTTGTTGTTGGTGGAGGTGTCGATATTAGTGGTGGAAGTGTAGTTATCAATATACCAGGCGCATGCCCTTGTGGCTTTGATGGCGGTGCTTTTGTTGTAGATGTACTAGTTGTTTCTGTCGATGAAGGAGCCGGAGTTGATAAAGGTGGTGTACTTGAATCAATATTATGACCACACTAATAATAGAAAAAAATAAAAATAAACTGTTACTGTGTTTTTAAATTTAATGATATATTTTTAGCTTCTTTAACAAATTTACATTGAATCCTTTTTTATACTAAATTTAACATCATTGTCAGGTTTTAAACTTCATCTTATAATCTTTCACTGTTTGAAAGTTATAACCAAGAAAAATTTACAACCCACTAATTTTGGGTAGAAATTTACATGGTCCTAATATCTGAACACTGAAATATTAGAAGTTTAAAACCTAAAAGATAAAGGGTGCAAACTTTTTAGTGTATTTTTATTTCCAGACTACGATCGCCGAAGGTTTTTGCAAAACAATTTTTATTAACATACTTAAATAAACATACTTAGTTCAAAACCTTATCCCTGCCTACGTTACTGGCCAAAAGCAGCCAAATACCACTTCTGGGTCATAATATTTTAGGGATCAAACAACCTCAGGGGTGTGGTAATGCATAAAGAACGAACACAAAAGCTTTCATTTTTATATATTAGGATTTTATGTATGTTTTTATTCTTTTATCTATTATAATATTTAAGTATATGTTTTACATAAAAACATTTTAATAAATTTTATTCTTATACCAGCAATCAAAGTTATTTGACTTTCTGATCAAACAAATACTTATATGGTAATCTATGTTTTGTTAATTGAGGCAAATATTGCTCATAACAATTATTTCAATTCTTTTAGATGGTTTTTTGCCAAATAACCAAAAAATATTTACTTTGTTATTTTTTTAAATTATTTTTTGTTACCAGTTTATTTAAAGTTTAAAGTGTTCCTAAAACTTTTTTTTGGCAACATAATTTTTTTTTTAATAAACTCAATAAATTTAATAAAACATTTTTTTTTGTACTTTTCATTTTTTATTAAGTGGAAAATTATTAAGCTGCAAACCATGTTATAAGCAATCCTTTGTAACAACACCGTTTGAAAATTTTGACTTTTTTGGTTACGAAACATCCCGAAAAAATCCTCTTAGGGTATGAAACTACACATGTCAAGAATACTATATCAACTTACTTTGAAATCCAAAATTAAAATCCGAGAGAGATATTTTGATTTGAAAATATTCAATATTTTCACCAAATGGATAGAAGTTGGTTACAACCTGCCCTTAACAAAAGGGGTCATATCAGTCCTAATACAGCCTAACTAATTTAAAAAGTAAAATTAAGATAGAAAATATGCCATTTTTGACAATAATTCATATTCACAATTTTAAAATTTTATTTGAAAATATTTAGAAAACCATCTTTCAATCTTTTGATATAATCAAAATTTCTCACTTCAAAAATTTTTCTTTTGACAAATAAATACATTCTTTACACACACACAAACTGAGTTTCTCCAAATTGAAAATGAGGAGTCTTTTATTTTCTTTCTTTCCAACTAAACTTTTTTGCTGTTGTAATCAACTACGCAACTGAGGAGTTGACTGGAATATTCCGGATGAGTAGAGTTTCGCTTGAATCTTTGCCAGTGGGTCTTGAAATTTGAATGAAGAGCTTCTGTTGCTTGCTCACTGAATACACCTAGACCAACCTTGTGCTGATGAATGAATTGTTGAACGTGATGAAAAACAGCATGTGCCTTTGGTGTGACTGAGACTGGTAATTTCAAGTAGTTATCTTTGAAATCACAAATTTTTGCCTCATAATCTGGCAACAGAGTGTATCCAAAGCATGAAACCAAAACCTGGTGAAATGAGCTCAATGCTTGGCATGCCTTTGTTGCATCTGGTGCTTTTTCAGCAATTGTCAATTGCATAAGCTCTTCAATTTTCCTCAGCACTTTCATGCAATCTTTTCCATTGAAGTGGCCACCATGAAATGGTTGCATCTGAATGTGGATTGAATCCAACCATTGTTTGGTCTTTGGAAAAACTTGAACCAAGTACTTGATGAGGTGGTTGACAACTCCCAGGAGCAAATGCAGTTTGCCTCAAGGATCAATTCCCTGTCTGGAAAAGCAAACATTGGCAAATGAACCACATTTTCAAACTCTTTTGATCTTTTGGCATCACAACCAGACTTCACAAATTTTTTGTACAAGTCTCTGATGCCCCCGAATGTTCTAAGCTGACCACAGTTTTCCAAATGTGCTGAGTCTATGTTGCACCAACAGCAAGGATGCTTACTGCTGTGTGACTGGATTCCACAAACTATGTTTGCAAGCATCATGTCACAAGAAATAACAAGTTTTTCTGAAATGGAGATTTCATTGATTTGGAGAAGATCCAGAATGTGCTTAACATTTGGGTAAGTCTCTGGTGTGTTCTCTGAAATGGCAACAATCAGTTGTTTTTGAACACTTGTGTTTTTGAAGTTGTCTTTGGTGATCAATTTTGATTTCTTCTGAACAGGACTGTGAGGTTCTCCTTCATGCTCACTGATAAGACTCAAACTTGCCTTAAAGAATGATCCTCCACCATCAATGCTAAGCTTTAAGAAGTTTGAGTTTTGCAAGCCTCTGGATGAAACAATATTTTCTTTGAGGGTTTCCAAATTTGTGCAGTGAACAATATGGCGTGTTCCATTTGATTCTGGTAACTGTGAAGTGGTTACTGTAAAGAAACTTTTGAGGGTAGTTCCAGCTGCAGCAAATTTTTGTTGAAAATTGGCCTCAACTATGCGAACAGGACTTATTTGATTTAAAGCTGACCCAAGCTTTCTCATTCCATTGTTAGAAAGTCCAATGTTTTGCTGAATATTAATCATATCTTGTGTTGTCAATGGCTCTGAGGAGAGACCCTGAGTTGCATTTGATCCTGTGAATAAAGAAACAAATAAAAAAAAAACCAATATTAAAAAGCAAACCCAGCAACAATACTTTAACATACCTGGTCTGATTTCAAGAGGCTTTCCATGAAACCGGCTAATCAGAATAGTTCCATCGGAAGATACCTCTTTGGAAGAAACGATGAATGATGCAATTTGCTCTGCCCCTAACGGATCTGCCAATGCCAGAGCTTTCAAGTTTTCACGACGTGTTGCTTCTTTGCAGTTATGAGGCAGTCCTCGAGCAATGACAGATAGGCATTTTGTGCATCGTTTTTCAAAAGATTTTTCTTCTTTTTGCACTTCTTGCTGAGATGGTTTTTCAAAGGGGTGCTTTCCTTTCTCTTTGGTTTTTGAAATTTGACAAATGATGCAATCACATTTAGTTGTCTGGCGAGTTGATGGTTTGATCAATATGGATTCGAAGTCATAAAGTTGAGGTATACTCACTTCTTCATCTCCAGAAGCTAACTTTCTAAGCAGGAACCTACAGGTGACACAGATCCCTCGTGGAACCCTCTCATCATCAAAGTTGATGTTGCCAGAAATCAATCTTTTGATTTCACTGATGAAATATTCTGAAATTTCTCTGTCACTTTTTTTCATACAAAGTGTGCAAACGACCTGCCGACATTGATTATGATCCTTTGAAAAAGTAGGCATTTCAAAATCTGAGATGAACTTGTGATCTGTTTGAAGATATCATTTAAACTAATTCATAAAGTACAAAGAGGTCATAAAACGTATGAAAATGTACTAAAAGTACAAAAATTCCGTAAAATTGGAAATGTCCGAAGAGTACAAATTTTAGGAAAGTACAAATTTACGGCAATTCACGTATCAAATTTTTCATCGTAATTCGCGATTCAAAAATTAATCGATTCAAAACTTGAAATGGAAATATCTCCCCTTATAGCTCATTTCTCAAAAAAATTTATTAAATACGAAATCTTTACAAATTAATTGTCTAAAAAAGTTATTTTATTAAAAAAATCACTACGACCCACCCCAATACCGCTATTTTCAAAAACAAAAACTGCTAATGTTTTTATATTATTTCAAAAATTTAAATCAAAATATCTCTCTCGGATTTTAATTTTGGATTTCAAAGTAAGTTGATATAGTATTCTTGACATGTGTA